TTTGGGGCCCTGCCAGCTGGTAGCTGAGGCAGCCTCAGCTGTGTCTCACAGACCCGCCAAATTGGAGCCTGTTGTTTAATAAGGTGCCAGGGCCTCCAGTCCCTGGTAAACCTTGACAAGTCCTGGGCCTGACTCCAGGGGCTCAAAGCAGCCATGGTGGGATGGGGGATGGAGTCCACCTGGGGCCTTGAAGAAGGTGAACACAGAAGGGAGTGCTGGGGTAGGACCAGAGCAAGGCTGGGAGCCCCACCACATATGGGAGAGTAGGGACACAGAGAGGGAAGATGTCAGAACTTTCCTTAAGTTCACAGTGCAGGCTGGGGTACAGACCTGGAGGCAGGGGAGGCTGCTCTGGGGCACCATGGAATGGGGGTGGCCCTGTGGCATGTGGGGCAGGCACATGTTCCCCTGCTTCCAACAGCCAGCTGGAGACACTTGTAGGGCAGCGAAGGGCTCCGCTGGCCCAGAGAAGGTCTGTGACTGGCCAGTGTCAGAGGTGGGAGCACAGAAAGCTGAAGACGTCCCTTTATTTCAGGGACAGAGGAGAAGATGCAATGCTGCTGGGAAGAGGGGACCCAGACTCTGGGCTCAGGCCCCCTGGTTTCCTCTCCACAGTGTCTCTCTCTACCCACTCATCCTTCATTGTCAGGTAAGGACACAAATAGCACCACCAATTGGGCACATAAACGAGGCCATATGCACAGGCCTGGCACAGAATAAACACCCTGATGGCATTGTTAGGGTGTTGCCGTTCAGACCAGCAAAGGTGACAGAGCATCAATAATGTCATCAATATTACCATCAAGTCAGTGTAAGGGCCAAAGGCCCAACTCCCTACAGTTTGCAGAGCCCTCTGCCATCCAGCATCCTCTACAAAAGAGGGGTGATTGGTCCACTTAGCAGAGATGAAAACTGAGGCCAGAGAGAGGACTCTCCCAAAGTCAGCAGCCTGTAAGCCAGAGGCAGGTTTCATGGCCAATGCTCCCAGCCACCTCCCTGCTCATTCCCGTGGGAAAGCCTCTGGCCCATAAGCGTGGGGGCAGCACAGCCCCGTGATAGCGCTGCCGTCTCCGTCACACCCGCCCCAGGGCCCAGCAGGGCCGGTGGTGCCCATGTGACTCAGCCGCCCTCACAAAGGGAGCTGTGTGCCCTGTGCCTGGGCCTGCCTCCCTGACCAGGCCCCAGCCCCCAGCAGGGAAGAGCCAGGAGCCTGACAGTCAAGAGGTGGGAAGGCGAGAGCTACCCTCCTGGGCTGGTTGGTGGGGACTCAAGCCCAGGCTTGGGGTGCACAGAGCTGATGCCAGTTCCAGAGGTGGAACTGGAACAAAAGGCCTAGCAACAGGGCAGGGAGATGGCCCAGGTCCACTCTGGTGTCTGAGACCTTATTTGGAGCTCCAAGACCAGTGGCTCCTTCTGGGGTGAGGCCAGCAGGTGCCCCGCTCACTCCTACCTGCACTCCAGGTTTCAAAACACTGGTGCTTTCGGTCAAAGAGGAGGCACTCCCCAGATGCCCACATGCCCTGCCCAGCCCCTGTGTCTACCCCTGGCGGCAGCACTCTCCTCTCTCTGCCTCTTCCCTGACAGTTCCAGATTCCAAGCCCACGGGTCCCTTGCTGCTCACCTCTGATGTGCCTTTTTTACCACAGCCCTGCCAAGGAGACTTTGCCCCACTGGCCAGAGGAGACTGAGGCTAGCCTAGGGTCACACAGGATTGGAGCCAGGATCTGATTTTCAGGCCTGTTTCCTCCCCCTTACCCTCTTGCTGGTACAAGGACATCTTGACCACAGACCAACAAGAAGTCCCCTTGGACCTGCTGCACACAGTCTTCCTCCCCCATGGTCACCTTGTTCCTGCCCTATGGGAAGGGGGCCAGTACAAAATGCAGCTCCTTAGACAGGTTCGGGCTGGCTGGGCCGCCCAGGACCACCCCCGCCGACCTCCCAGGAGGTGGGCATGCCTGGGTGCCCAGCTGCTGGAGACAGGAGACGAAGGTACACAGGGGCATGGCCTATCCCTTCCTTGGGGTGATGGAATGTCTGATCTTCAGCCCAGCCCCCAGGGTACTTGGCAGGAGGGCTGGATCCAGCCAGAACTTCCCTGGAAGGTCACTGGCCATGCCGAAGCCCCTGAGCCTCACCTTGAACAAGGCCTCTGCAGCCCAAGCGCATGGCTGCCAGCCTGGGCCCCTCGCAGTGTGCAGGGTGGGGCATCTAGGGGCCTGGCCTCCTGTGAGACTAAATCAGGGGGGTGGGGTCAGGATGGGGCTGTCCTGCTGAGCCTCTGAGCCCGGGCGCCAAATGTAGGGAACAGGGGAAGGGGACGTTACCAGAACCTCTGCAGTAAGTCCTAGTCTCCTGAGAGCCACGGCAGCACACGGCGAATTACAGGAAAGGTAGAAAAATGAGACTGAGAAGAAGCTGAGCTTTGGGTCTGATCAGTGCTGCTCTGGGCAGCAAAGACAAGAACCCCTAGCTTGCAGCACCTTTTATTTAGTACATGGGGAAACCGATGTAACAAGTAAAATGTAGAGTTCAGTATCTCACATTGGGATAAACAAGGTGTAACAACAAAAGACTGGGGGGCAGTGGAAATCTAAGAAGGATGAGGAGCTATGCAGATGAAGATTGGTTCCTCTATGACATCTCCGGCAGGTGTGGTCTTGTCCTGGAGCATTACAGCATCCGGGGATCAGTGAGGTCTCAGTTGTGACCCGAGGCCAAAATACAACTATGTCTGGAATGTCACAGCTGGACTGCAGGCAGGAGAACTAGGCCTACTCAAATGATTTTTCCCTAGAACTATGCAACGTTGCTCCCAACACTCCTCAGGTGGGACTCCAGGGACCCTGCCAGTGCCCTGCTCAGAGGATCCTGGCCTGGGGCCTCCGAACCTGGCCAAACCCCTCTGGATTCCCCCTGGCATTGTCCCAAAGTCCCCAAATAGCCCACTATGGAATCTGACATCAGATGGTCCTGACTGACCTTTCTGAGCCTCAGTGTTCTTTTGTGTGCAGTGGGTACACGGCCTATACCCAGGGCCTCTGGGAAGTGCAAGAGTTCACTCACTGCCACCCTCCCATCTTGGGGTTCGGCATCCTCCACCCCATTGGGTTCTCTTTTGAAGCACAAATGTCCCATGGGTGGGAGCAGAAGTGACTCTGACTCCTCTGTAGGAGCCCTCCTCCTGGGCGAAAGGGCCCAACCCTGGCCAGCATCCCCCACCCAGGCCATCCCAGCTGCTGCTGGACAGTTTTGTCCCTTCTGTCAGTGGCTCCCTAGTCCTGGCCTGGGAGGTTTGAGTGGCAGCTGTTTGACACCTGTCTTGGTCCAGGTGCCTCTGGTCAGGCAGTGAGGCATCGTCACACCTGTGCCATGGACGCAAATGAGGCCCAGAGTGGCTTAGTGGCCACCCACGGATGGGACAGCACGTGCAGATGGCAGGACTTGCTCCACTTTGCTGTGTATGTGGGTGTGCGCACACTCGTGCATGTGTTTGGACTTTTGTTTTTGTAATACTGGATACTGAACCCAGCCTCATGCATGCTAGACAAGCACTCTATCACTGAGCTTCACCCCTAGCCCTTTTACCTTTATTTTTGAGATGGAGTCTTGTTAAGTTGCCCAGGTTGGTTTTAAACTTGCAATTCTCCTGCCTCAGTCTCTCAAGAAGCTGGGATTATAGGCATGCACCGCTGTGGCAGGTAATTTGCTTTGTTTCACCACCCACAGGGTCCCTAGGGTCCTGAATCTCTCTCTCTCTCTCTCTCACACACACACACACACACACACACACACACACACACAGACAGAGTTGGTGCCCAGCACAGAATGTGGGCTGAGGGATACTTCTATTTCCTTACCTGGAAACAGGGCTGCTGCACTTTTGGCAAAATAAAGAGCTGGCATTGTAACTATTCATGAAAATTCCACAAAGCACCCAGCCCCCCAGCCCAGGAGACACCTCCAACACCTCCCAGAACCACAGCCTTCTGCAGTACCTCTGCCCCAGCAGCTGGGAGCCACCGGGGCCTCCCCCTAAGTGCTGGGGCACAGATGGCTCCGGAGGCGTAATGGAGCAATGACGACTGCCGCTCATTAGCAGGGGCTGCCTCGTGCACAGAGGGAATGGGGGGGGGGGGTGTGCATTTTGCTGCCCACACACCCCAGGGAGCCCAGTTGGTAGAAGCGGAGCAGGAAGACACCAGGCGCCCACCCAACTCCAGCTCCCCACCTGCCCCCCACCTCCATCTGGCTGGGCTCCAGTGTTTGTTGTCAGACTTTGTCCCTGCACCTCGATGTGGGACAGACAGGGAAAGGGGCCCAGACAAGGAAAGCAGGGTCCCACAAAGGCCACTGTAGTCACCCTTGGCCTTTTTCTCCCCAACAGCTCCCTGTCCACCATAGAGGAGATTTGGCCCACAGAGGAAGGCACCATTTGACTCTCACCTCCTGCCCAGTGCAGCCAGGGCAGGGGACAACAGAGCTGGGCACTGGGCCCCAAGCCTAGGCCCGTCCCCTGCTAACTCCCCGGTAAAGGCTGCCTACCACCTCTCTTGTCAAAAGTCAAACAACCCAGGCCAACCTGCTTCCAAACCGGTTTCTCATGGGATCCCAGGAAGAAACAAGCTCTCTCAAGGAAGTGGGAGGCAGGTGGCACCAGGGGAATGTGTGCCCCCTGTCATCCCATCCAGTTGCAGGGTCCCAGCTGCAGCCCTGCCCTCAGGGTCTGCCATCTTCTCTGAAAGAATGACATACCTCTCACCCTGATAGTGTCCCAGTGCCAGGTGGATGGCCCATGAGCATGCCCAGACCATACTCGGAGCAGCAAGGGGGACCAGCACGGCCAACTAACTCAGAGCCTCCCCTTGAAGACACCCAGAACCTAAAGAGGCCAGGAGCACCAAACAGGTAACCTCAGGACACTGAACTGGACTCCCGGGTCGGCCAAGGTCAAGTAGGCCAGGCTGGCTGCCATATCCACTGACCTTGTCTGCCCGGTCCCCAACCTGAGCGGCAGCTTCTTACCTCTGGGTCTGGGCAGGCCCCTCTGCAGACTGCAGACCTTTTCCCTCCTCTTCCTCCTCTTCCCAGGGCACCCAGCTCCCAGTCAGAGCATGTCCTGCCGCTCAGCGAGCCTGGCCCAGGTGAGACTCCGCCTGCCCAGTTAGCACCACTTCCGCTTGCCACCAGCCTGTCATTCCAGGGTTTCCCTGTAGGGCCTGCCTGACCTGGCTTTTGGGGACTGTCTCCCATCTGTTGCCTCAGCCCTGCTGGACTTTCGGAACCTCTGCCCTGAGAAGGCAGCACAATCTGCTACTGGGTGAGTGTGGGGGTCACCAATTGTCTCGGAGTCTCAGTGCTGGTGGGGGGTGGGGCGTGCTCCTTCCATCTGCAATCTGCCAACACCTCCTGTGTTTTCCCACCTCCTCTCTTCTCTTGGGCCCCACCTGAACCCAGGCCCACACTCACCTGCTGCAATCAAATGCAGGCACAACCAGCTGCTGCTGGCAGAAGTGGGAACCCAAGGTGGAGTGCAGGGGGTGGGGGCTTAAAATGTCCAGCCTCCTGCAGGACACAAAAAGGGACCCAAGAAAGCAAAGGGTGGGGACAGAGATGGGCGTTTGTTCTTGGGGAGGGGAAGTAGCAGCTGCCTCCGGTATCCTGGGAAGATGTCAAGGGTCATCCAGACCAGCTCTGCCCCCAGCAGAGAGGTTTGGGGCACATCCCTACTCCAGCCCACAGGAAGAGCTTGCCTGGCCCCAGTTCTGCCCTTCAGACCCCATCTCAGACCAGCAGTTGAGGTGGTTAACGTTCCCACACCTTGGTACCCACCCCCACTACACCCCAACACTGAGACCACTGGCTGAGCCACTACTCCTGCCCAGGATCAAACAGGCACTCACTGATCAGTGCCACATAGTTGGCATCGGGTACCACTGTGGGCCAGGCCCTGGGTTAGGGGCTGTGTGTACAGCAGTGCTCCAGGGACCCTTCCCTTACTTCCTCCACCCCACCGTCTCCTACAGCCACCTGGGCACCTTCTCACCTGTGACCAATCCCCCAGGCTCAGGATTATCCCTTCCTCGGCCGTGTGTTCCACCAGGGCACCACATTCAGGGCCTGGATCAGAGAAATGCTAGGTGAGGAAGGGAATGTGAGAGAAGGAATGACGATGGACAGAAGTATGGATGGACAGGTGGATGGATGCAGCCATGCATTTAGCATGTGTCTGTTGAGGACCAGGCACTGTGCTAGGCACGGGGGATATAGCTGGAAACTGCTCAGCTGTGTGGCTGAGTGAAAGGTCAAGCAATGAGACCAGAAAGTGAAGGGAGGGTGGATGGACAGGTGGACAAGGGAAAAAGGGAGGATCCAGTTGGGCAAAGTGTTGGAGGGGGCTCCAACCCACCCCCCCAGAAGGCACAGGCAGAGTCTGTCTGCTGGCTGCTGTTCATCTTGGACCCCACTGGGGTTCCTGGTCCCCAGATCACCCCTTTGCTCCTCTTCCCTGTGGAAATTCCCAGCTGCCGATGCAACCTCTGCTATATCTGCGGGCAGGCGCCTTCCTCTGCCCAGCAGGAAGTATGCACCTCCCTGGCTGAACACAAATCAGGGGCACCAGGAGGAAACAGCAGCAAGACAGCCTGACCCCTAAGGCCCGGAGTTTCCCTGCAGCCCAAAGATGGCACCCACCCTGATACGGACACAGGGGCAGTGCCAGTGACTTTCCCACTCCTGACCCCCATACTCCACTCCACCCCTCTGTCCTGGGGGCCCCTGATATGTGACATTGTCCCCAAGTCCTATCACTTGAGCATCAGGGGCTGAGGCTCCAGCCCCCGGTTTGGGCCCACTTCTTCTGAGTGCACTTGGGGTGGCTGCTTAACCTCTCAGACCCTTGGGTCATCTATCAAATGAGGACATGCGCCTTTGCACTGCTTGCTTCCAGACACAGGAGTCAGGAAATTTCTCTAACACATGAGGAACATGTGCGGGGCGGGGGCTTGGTCTCTTGGACCACTCCCCATGCATCCCCTGGGATGAAGTTCAAATGAAATGAAACCAAAGCACCCAAACTGCATACCTGGGGGCCACAGGGATGACCATAGTCGCTCTAGCACTGCCAACCAGGCCCCAAGCTAAAGCCACTGTGTGGATTTCCCCATGAACTCCTCACTATGCCCCCATGAGGCTGGGCTACCTAGTACTGTGGGCCTACAGGCAAGATGAGGAAGGGCTGAGGGACAGGACTGGGGTCACACGGAGCCAATAAGACTCCAGAGCTTGTGCAGGAGTCTGGGAGAAGCCCAGCCTGAGGCTGCTCATACCCTATCCCCACTCAGTGGACATCTTGGGAAGTGCAGACTTCTTCCCTGTCTGGAATGTGAAGAGTACCCTGTGCCTCTACAGGACTCCAGGTCAGGAGGGGCTCTCTATCTCTGGGGGAAGCCACCTGCCTCATCTTTGGTGACAAAATGGTCTCTAAAGTGACTTTCCATTCACCGGCTAATTTCCATGGGCCATTTTTCACCAGTTCCTCTATTCATCCACTAAACTAATATTTGCCCAGTAGCTACTGGCTGCCAGGCCTGCTTCAGAAAACATTCTGTGAGGGCTGGAACACTCAAGCAGACCAGCTCACCCCCCTTAGACCAAGCTCTGCTTGTCTGCAAACTAGGGGTGGTGTCAGTGTCTATCTGTGTTTTGCGGGGATTAAATGCTAAAGTACTCTGAACCCTGGCGGCACACAGTTAAGTGCTCAATAAATGTTTGCCACATCCAAATGCAAGGGGAATTCACATTCCCAGCCTTAGAAAGCTCCTCCCATTCTCAGCATTGCCTCTGTTGAATGCAGTTGACTTCTGTTCCTTTCATTAGATCAATAGGAAAATGTTCTACCTTTGGGCCGCATCTGGAAGAAAGTGGTCTCCACAGCCAGATGTGGATGGACAGGCCCACAGCTCTGAGCCAGTGCCGAGATCAGCCCCAGAGGGCTCCCCATGCTTTCCAGAAAGGAGAGGCAGGGAGGGAGGGTGGTGGCACTGCCCTCCCCTTGATAAGTTTCCAGAGTTCATTCTCTGCCCTCTGTGTGTTTTGTCACCTTCAAGTCCAGCCTTCTAGTTCTGCCAAGATGTGGTCATCTCTCTGTACCCTGGCTGGGGTCAGGAGACCTGGTTCACCCAGCAGGGTGGTGCTGAGCAGGTCAGGGCTCTTTTCTCAGCCTCAGTCTTCCTTGTCTACAAGGGGTGACGGACAAATACAGTAAGCACTGAAATTTTTAAAAGGTATTACAGTAAAGGTCACCTTGCCATTAATCTCCCTTAAAATATTCCCACTGGAATATCAAACATCCTATCATTCTTGCCACTTTCTGAAGCAGTTTTGGAAGTTGTCTTTCATGAGTGTTTTTTTGTAGCTACCTCTATGTCTTGAATCAATTAAAAACACATACAATAATTTTTATTGAATAAGGACACATCCACCTTATTCACTGGATCTGGTACCATGCAACTTCTGGCTGTCTTCCAAAGTCAAAATAACCATGAAAAGTAAGCATTTTTAATCATTTCAGCACATTGAACTAAAGACACTCAGGATAGAGGACTTCCAGAACTGCTTCAGAAAGTGCCGAGAACAATGGGCTAAGTGTGTTCAAAGCGGGAGTTGAGGGAGAGTATTGAGGGAGATTAGTGGCTATGTGTCTTTGTAATCAATTACTTTTAACTTAACCCCTGTTTTTTTGTTTTGTTTTGTTTTTGGTACCAGGGATCGAACTGGAGTCCTTGCGCTTACAAGGCAGATGGCGGAACCACTGAGCTAAATCCCAGGCCCCAGCTTTTAACTTAACCATTGACCGTACTTTCCTGTGTATGAAGACCCTGTGTATCAAATGAGACTAATGGGCGGACCCATCCTGTGATGTTTTCAGCCCTCAGAAATGTGCTGTGCCAGCCGAAAGGCTTTCTTGACCGTCCCAGCAGCTCTGAGCACACAGAAGGGAACCCAGCGTGACATCCCCCAGCCTCAGTGAGTCAGCAGCATCCAGCCACATCCTCAGCATGCCGTGACACTGTGGGAGCACTCCTGGAGTGGCACCAGGGCCTTTCTACCTTTGCCCTGTGTCTTGAATTGACTGAGCCCTGCGGGGTTGAGGTCAAGGCAACAGAGTCACCTCCTTCTGAGGCATTAGCAGTCAGGCCTCCTCAGAGGCACCACAGGAAACAGATGACAACCAAATGTCAAAACTTTGTCAGATGCTGCAGGTTCAGAACAGGACAGACCTCTGGCTCTGAGGGTGAGGACAGACCTCTGGCTCTGAGGGTGAGGACAGACCTCTGCCTCTCTCTGCAGCCCCAGACCTCAGGTTGGGACCAGGTCCCTCCTCTATTCCTCCGCCACCTGGCAATTCTACCCACCCCACTTCATGCCCAAGTTCCAGTGCCACCTTTCCATGAAGCTCTCTTGGAGTTCTCCCTTCCTTCCTGATGGGTTCAGCCTCTGAACCTCTGAGCCCTGAAAGCCCCACATCACTTTACCTGCAAGGATGCTCATATCCAACTCCCTTGAGCCCTGTCTGCACCAGGCTGATCCCTCACCCTGCACAGAGTGATAACACATTTAATTCCCACAGCAGTCCTATGGAGGAGGTGACCACAGGGAATATGGACAAGAAGGATGAGGCCCAAAGACAGGTAGCAACCTACCCTAGAGCACATGGCCACTAAGTACCAAGGGCAAGCTCTGAAGCAAGGTCTATGTTGGGCCACAGTTCCTTGATGTACCTCTGTGTCGTGCAGCCTCTAAGTTAATGTATTTCATTCATTCATTCAACAAAACATTTTCCAAGTGCCAGATCTCCAACTGGCATCTCTGGGCATGAGACAGATATATCCCTGCCCTCCTGGACTTTATAGCTTGATGAGGAAATGAAGTAAGGAACTTTAAAAAAATCATAGAAGTGATTAATCATCCAATAAGTGTGAAGACAAATATTTACAAGCAACAGAGAAAGCATGAAATAGAGAACTCACTTTAGCCAGGTAGTCAGGGAAGACCTCTTGAAGGAGGTGACATTTGTAACAAGGTCCTGATGGATGAGGAGGAGCTAGCCTTGGAAAAAGTCGACCTGGGGAACAGCAGACCAAGGAGGAGGAACCGCATGTGCAAAACTCAGAGGGGGGACCAGCTCCAAGTGCGGAGAAACTGGCAGCTGGCAGGTGTGGCCAGAGCACAGGGACAAGAGAGGAGACCAAAGAGCAGAGCTGCAAAGACAGATGGAGATGGCATCACCTCCCAGGGCAGTGGGAAGTGCGGTGGAGGAAAACAGGAACTGAGGATCAATTTATAGTCAAGGGCAGCAGCTGGCAGACTCAGCTCTGCCTGCCCAGATCAAGGCCATTGGTCCTGGCCAGGCAGAACAACATCCCTGTGCCCCTTTCCTGCCAACACTACAGAGTCTTGACAGCCAGAGGTAACAGGGACCAAGAAGGAGTCCTGCAGAATACTCCACTCCCTGCTGCCACCAGGGTGCAGAGCAGGGTGGCCACCCACCCTCTGGCCATCCAGAGAGCTGGGAGGCAGGCATTGGCCCTGAGCAGGCAGTCTGTCAATCCATCACCCATTAGGCCTCTGCAGCCTTGGCCCTCAGCCATTGGTGGCTGCCCCGCTCTCTGAACACTGTTTCGATATGAGTATTGATGTGAATATATGAACATTTATGTTGCAAGTATGATGGAAGTGAGATAATAAGGACATGTGCTGGCACTTAATTTGTTCATCAATGATCTGAATGATTTTTCTTTCTGAACCGAGCTCAAAATACTGGAATACTTGTTGGAACTGAATCACAATTTTCCAGCTTCTGGTGTGATTTGCAAAGCATGCAGCCCCTGTGTGGGGTGTGCCTTATCATCCTCATCTCCTCTACTTCCTCAAGTCTATCCAGACAATCAGAAAACAACAAATCAAGGCCTGACTGATAGCCCTTGCAGACTTACACAGTGTAAATATTACCAGCTTAGCAAGTTTCAGGATGAATTCAACACAGAGTTAGAGAAAGATACCCAGGGGTCAGCATCACACAGTAGGGTTTCTACCACACCACTGCAGTAAGTGTCGGTAACTCCAGGAGCACATGTGTATTCACTTTCTAGGGCTGCTGTAACCAACCCCCACAGGTGGGGGGCTTGCACAACAATATGTAAGTGCACCATTCTAGAGGCCAGATGGCCGAGATCAAGCTTTGTGAGAAATCCCTTCCCGTGCCTCTCCCCCCACTTCTAGTGGTGGCTGCAATCTCTGGGGTTCCTTGGTATGTAGAAGCATCACCCCATCTCTGCCTTCCTCTCTGCGTGGCCTTCTCCCCATGTGCATGTCTGTGTCCACGTTCCCCTGTTTTTTAAGGACACCAGTCATTTTGGAGTAGGAGTTGACCCCAAGAACCTCCTGTTAACTTGGTTACCTCTGTAAAGACCCAGGCACCAAATAAGGTCTGTCCTGAGGTGCTCAGGGTTGGGACTTGAACACATAAATTTGGGAGAAAGGTGAGAATACCATTCAACCTGTGACAATGGATTATGGCAAAATTTGGTCATTAGGACATAATGCATTGTAAGGATTTATTATTATAACTTAATTTTGTTTATGTAATTTAATTCTTAATAGTAGCTGTGCTTAACAACCAGTTCACAAAGTATCCAACATTTAGCAGCTAGTAGTATTCCACAGACCACTGCCCACCCCCCTCTTCTGCCCAGCTGCATCCCCAACCTGCTTCTGCGGGCTCAGATAATGGACATACTGTGCATCTCCTCTGAGCAACCCAAAGCCTGGTCTCCACCTCCCGGAGGGGGTCCTGAGAAAGGGATGCTCTGGAGGCCAGTATGATCACAGCTGCCCAGCTGGACTAGCAAAGAGCTGAAGACAGTCCACACATGCAACTCCAGGAAAGCTCGGAAAGCACCGCCTGGCTCTGCCCCTGTATGGTGACCAACCCTCTCATTTTGCCTGGATCGTCCCTGCTCAGCACTGAAAATTCTGCATCCCAGGAAACTCTTAGTCCTGGGCAAACTGAACACTCGGTCATGCTCACCTCGTAATCATAGGGTCCCAGCAAAAAGAAAACAGAAAATGCTTTTTGGTGAAAATTAAGCAGAACACAGGGCAGCATCTCTGCAGATCTCAGAGATCCATTCCCTGCTTGGAGGCAAGGCTGGTGCCCAGGGGCTTCTCAGTAAGGTGTGCAGTGAGAACCGGGGTATAAATGTGGGTCAAGCCTCAATGTGGCAGGGCAGTGCAGCCAGGAGAGGAGACCCAAGGAGTGGGCAAAGACAGCACCAGAGCGGGGTTCAAGTCCTAGCTCGGCCACACAGTAGATGCATGACTTTGAGGAGGTGGCCTGCCACCTGTGCCTCCATTTCTCCATCTGTAACATCTTGGTGGGTGGTTGGTGGTTTCAGTAAGACCCACTGTGGAAAGCACAGTGCCCATCTTGTCCAAGACACCTCAGCAATACTGTCAACAAGCAGAGCCAAGTGAATAGGAGTGTGGGCGCTTTTTTTTCTGTTTATAATTGTTTCCATTGTGGCTAGTCTGGTGTTGTGTGTACAATCAAAACAAAACAGAAATTATGAACATCTAGGTACACAGATGTATATAAATAGAGCCTGAAACCAAATGTTGGCTGTGGGGAATAGGGAAAGGGCTGCTGCGGCTGGACCCCGAGCATGTCTCTGTTCCAGGGTATCCTTAGAAGAGCTGGAGAAGCCGCTGGGCCCCCTGAGCTTATGCCAACCCATGCCTGAACTAAAGCCTGAACAGGCAGCTCTGGTGGCTAGGGAAATGGGAAGCAATAAGTGTAGCCCCCAAGTCAGAAAGGGTGCCTGTGTTTACAGAGCAGCCCAGCACAGGCTCCAGCCCACCTCCACTGCCTGACACAGATTCTGCTCCTGCTGCAGAGCGACCTCAGCAACTTGGGGCTGCAGCAACCCCAGGGGAGGAAACTGTGCCCCATTACACAGAAGGGGCAGCCACAACCCTTCCCCATTAGAAACCCAAAATACAAATTTTAAAAAGAGCAAAATAAAATACAGATAATAGGAGACCGGGAGCTAGATCTTTTGCAAATTGGAAAGGTATGAAGAGATGGAGGGAAGGGCCGGGGATTTAGCTCAGTGGTTCCGCTGCCTGCCTTGCAAGCGCAAGGACCCGAGTTCAATCCCCGGTACCAAAAAAAAAAAAAAAGAGATGGAGGGAGAGGGGAGAGGGAAGGGAAGGGAACATGAAAGAATTAGGGTGTGTTATGTACCACCCCCCCAACTATGAATGTAATCATAGACTGCAAGCATGTACTAATACAATTTTTTTAAAGAGTAAGTTCTTTTATATAAATATTTGCTGTAGCACTTCTGCATACGCATGTTTAAGTTTGTGTGTTTGATTTATTTCATTTAGCATTATGGTCTCAAGGCATCCATTTTTCTACAAGTGACTCACTTACCCCTCTTCATAGCAGAGTAGTGCTCCATTGTGTGTAAATAGCACACTTTCTTTATCCATTCATCTGCTGATGGACATATAGGCTGCTTCCACAACTTAGCTATTATGAATTCTGCTGCTATACGCATGAGTACACATTTACTGTAATATGATGTATTTAACTCTTTTAGGAAGATAACTAGAAGGGGAATAGCCTAGCAGGGCTTTTTAAGGGATATTCCTCAGGGCTTGTTAGGTATTTGTTTCTTGTTTGGCTTCTGCAGTGATGGGGATCAAACCCAGGCCTTGTGCAGAGTAGGTAAGCATTCTGCCACCAAGTCAGCCATGGTCCATAACTTTAAAAGCAGAATTGTCAACCCTATCCCCCCCCCCCTCCTCTCATATACCCCTTTCACAGGTAAAGTGACTGAGGTTCAGATAGGTGAAGCATCTAACTTAATGACTAAGGGGCAGACGCAGCACCAACAAGATCCAGCTACTCCAAACAAGGCTGTAAAGAGTTCGCCATCTAGTCAAGAAAGGGGACAATACCATCCAACCCCTCTCAGGGGCCACTGTGTGATGAGGAAAGCCTCCCTGCACTCGCAGGGCCCCCACAAGTCCCACATTTGAACCCCAATCCTGCATTTCTTTTGTTGTCTTCCCGCCTCCCCTAGCCTTCTCTCTTCAGGCTGAAGAGAGCTTCAGGATACTTCTGTCTTCATCCCACAGCTGCTGCGTGGCCTCTGACAAATCAGTGTCCTCTCTGGGCTCCTCAGCCTCTAGCCTTCCACCACAGCCTCTGATTTCACTGGTTTGGGGTGGTGACCGGTGCTGCTAATTTTATTTAAATTCCTCATGCCAAGGTGACCAGGAGGTGGATGCTTTCTTTCCAAGGGGCCCCAGGACCAGGTGCCAGCCCTTCACTGGCCCCGGCCCCGCACTCAGCCTCCCGCAGAGACGCAGGGACTGTGGGGGCAGTAAGCTGGGAAGCCAGTTACACAGATGCCCCCAGGGGCAAAGTCTAGGTGGGGAGCAAAACCGTTGGCTGCCCACCCCGGGAAGCTGCACCTGGCGCTCTGGAGTCACCCTTCCCCCACTCCTCTGAGCAGCAGGAGCCTCAGCCCAGCTTCTGGCAGGCACCCAGCCAGGGCCTCTCCCCAGACACACGCAGCCTCTGCCCGGCTCAGAGAGGCCCTCTTGGCCAGGGTGCACCACAGTCGCAGCTGGGAGGGCCATGGCAAGTCACGGTAGCCTTGGAGCCCAGCAGACAGGGCCCTCCCTCCATCACCGCCTCGAAATGACCTTGGTAAGTCTTTTTTTGACCTTGAGCCTCAATAGGCCTAGTGTTGGCAACAAAGCTGTCAAGTGCCCAGCCCAGAATCCAGACCCGAGTTGGCGCTGTCAACAACTTCTTATCAAGAAGCACAGCAGGAAAAGGAAAAACAAGGATAAGCTGATTTTTCTTTGTTTTGACTGTGTGCAGAAGTCACTAAATAATGCCCAGTGTTAATAAATCAAGAAACAGCAGGATCAGAGTGTTATTTATTGCTCTGGGGGTAACCACCACATGGACTGAAGCTGTCAGAGGGGCTGCCGTGGGGAGGGGCTTTTCATTGTAAGTCCTTTTCACTAGTTGGTGTTTTTAAATGCCTGCTTAGTAAAAATTATTTATTAAAGTAACTTGACCTCCTTAGTGTTGATCTGCAAGGTCACCACTGTTAACAGAAGGATTTTGCCCTATGAGGCCACATACAAGGTTAAGTATTTGATTTACAGAGTCAGATTACCAGAGGTCAAATACCTGCTCTGTGATTTACTAGCTGTGCCACTATGGCCACATTACTTAACCACTCTGTGCCCCAGGTTCCTCATCTATAGAATAAGAAAAATAATAACTCCATGCTTCTGGTATGTACAGTAAATACTCAATTCTTGAGACATTATTATTACATATCCCTATAACTCATATGGGGAATTATTTTACAAAATAGGATTAAAATATTGGGCCGGGGATTTAGCTCAGTGGCGCCCACTCAAGCCTTTCAAGCCCAAGATCCCAAGTTCAATCCCTGATACCCCCCCCCAAAAAAAGGATTAATATGATTTACAAAGTTTTTGCATCTTGCTTTCCTTTCTCTTGCCAAGAAATAATGAATATCATTTCAGGTTGGTACATACAGTTCTATTTCATTCTTTATAATTGATGCAAGAATTCCATTGCCCAGAATGTAAAGTTAGAGTAGTTAGTTTCCATTTGTAGTATACTTTGTAGCAATTAATGTATAATTTTTGTGAAAACAAGGGGCCATTTCTGACAGATTCCTAAAACAGACATTTCTAAGTCACAGAGTTCATGCTACTAAAAATTTTATTGGTACCTCCTTTTTTTTTTTTTTTTTTTTGGCACCAGGGATGAACTTGGGACCTCTTAAAAAGTAATCCCACAGGGCTGGGATTTAGCTCAGTAGAGTCATGCCTGCCTCAAAATTGCAAGGTCCTGAGTTCAATCCCCGGTACCAGAAAAAAATATATATTTACCAATTTAGAGTCCCACCAATACTGTGAAAGTTCCCATTGCCTCAGTACCCCTGAGTTTTTAAACTTTTGCCTTTCTATAGAGAGGTGAGCTGATTGCTTTAATGAGCTTACCTTTAGTTATGGTGTGATTCAATATCTTTTCATAATGGTATCATACATTTTAATTTCTTTTCCTGTGAAATAGTCACATCCTTTCCCATTTTAATTGAGCTTTTTATACTTTTATGTTGATTGATAAGACCTCTTCAGAAGCATTCTTCTTTTTTGTACTGGTGATTGAACTCAGGGCCTGGTGCACACTACACAATTGCTTCACCACTAGTTATGTCCCCAGCCCTTTTACATTTTTATCCAGTTTTGAGACAGAGTCTTGCTAAGCTGCCCAAGCTTATGATCCTCCTGCCTCAAGTTTCCTGAGTAGCTGAGGTTACAGACATGTTGCCACCACCGCCAGCTTCCATTTAATGAAATTCTTAGTGTGCTTTTGGTCATGGAAAAGTTTTATATTATTATATAGTCAAATGTAATTTTCCCTTATGACTTCTGGCTTTCATGTCTTACTTTAAAAGACTCTATGATTCAAATTTACTTAAAAATTCTCCTAATTTGGGAGAATGAGATTAAAAAAGGAATGAAGCTATGTTATGTTCATGTACCAACTTCCCACAAGGGATGTAAGCATTATGTACTGCAAATGTGGACTGATAAACTAAAATAATAGAAAAATCTTTTAAAATTCTCTGACTTTTCTTTTAATACATTTATAATTTTGTTTAACATTTAATCCATTTGGAATGGCTATGTATCTGTACATGGTGTGACCCCGTGTATGGATGAATCTACCCTTTTCTGCCTAATTTGTGATGTCTCTTGGCATTTTATGCATCCTTGTGGTTGGCACAGGACAGAATTCTGCAAATGTTGGCTTTAGGAGCAGCTTCCATGATAGCCATATGACAGGTAGCATATTCTATAGCAACAGAGCAGGGGGTCCGAATTCAGAACTAGAGATGAATATTTGTGGTCTTGATTTTGATTTTAATTTCAAGTCAACTTTATATAGCTACCATAAAATTTCCACATTTTACATTTACAGATCAACAACTTGGCAGATGTGTACACTCATGTAACAAATGCCCCAAGAGAACATTTCCGTCTTTCCAAAAAGTTTCTTTGTGCCCCCTTTGGAGTCAGTATCCCCCAACTCCCACCCCAGGAAACTCTTTTATTTTTAAATGACATGTATGGGGTGCATTGATAACATTCTCAGAGAAATAAATAACACAGCTGTTGCATAAGCCCGTTGGCCGTTGGCTGAAGAGGAAGGCCAACTTCCCCCAAGGGAAGAAACTTCTCTTGTGGGGCTGACAAACACCTCTGAGACCAGGGATAACCCAGCCCAGATCTCCCAAGTGCTGTTTCTTACCATTTTTCTCTAAGTCTAGAAATCAAATCTGCCAAATATTTACCTAATACTTTCTTCTAGATCTACGGAGTTCTTACACTTACATTAAAATGGTTGCTTGTGAAAGAAAACACAGCTATCTCTGCATCACATGACCAGAGGCACATGTCATAATTAATGAAATGCTCTTCAT